TTAATGTATATAAATAATAAATCTATATGAAATTCAGATCTAAGTGGATTTAACCAGAATGCAGTTGGGCCAAAAATAAAATAAATTTGGTCAACCTGGCTCTGATTCAGGGAGTATTCAAGTTTTATATATTTAAAACCTGGTTGGGTTCGGGTTTTGCAAATCCCTTTGGAACTTGACTGGCTACCATTCCTAATAGGCAGTTTCTATGACTGGGAGAAAGTCAAGTAGTCATGGAACAACCCTTGAAGTCATAGGAGGAGACTTCAATATGTTGTTATTGAGCAAGAAACATTGTCTATATTAGCCTATGAGGCATGCGATGCTGAATCCAGACATGAAGGATCTAAACCTTATGGATCTTTTTTCAGGTGGTTAGTGGATGTGGTCTAACATGAAGGATAATGCTTCATTTTCCCATATTGATAGGTATTTGATTTGTTCTACTTTGATGTTAATGACCACTAACATTTTTCAGAAGATCCCCCCAAAAAATACCTCAGATTATCACCCTATTTGTTTCGAGTTGAATAGAATTACATGGTGCCTCAATTGTTTCTGTACCAAAAATATATGGTTCAAGGTGGAAGACTTACATATTAATGTGTCCTTGTGGGTGCAAATCTAACGAGGAGGATTTAACTAATTTCAGAATGACTAGCCTTTGCAAAGGCCCGAGTCAAAGAGTGGAGAAGTAGCAATGTCATAGCCAAGGAAACACCTTGAAAGGAGGAAATTAGAGTTTAATAGAAAAAGGAGGAAAGTAGCCAAGATTTAGCTTGTGCATGGTTACTTATAGAAGAGGTGGTTCGTGGCAAACATCTAGACTCGTTTGGCTCAAAGAGGGGATTTTTCACATGATCGCCAACTACCACTGGAAGACAAACTTCCTTGTTACAGTTGTGGTGGGAGGGGTGGATCACGAATTGAGATGTTGTTTGAATGATGCTTTTAGGGGTTTCTATCAGCGGCTATATGTTGAAGAGGAATATAGAAGACCAAATTTGGATGCAGTGGAGTTTGGCACAATTGAGGCTCGAGACATTACTTGGTTGGAAAGACCTTTTTCAGCTAAAGAGAGACTAGAAATTTTAATGAGCTGCAACAGTGATAAAGCTCTTGAACCGAACAGTTCTCTATGTTTTCTTGCAGTAAAGTTCGTGCTGTTATTAGGGGTGGTTTTGTCTCTTTTTGGGGGTTTCTATGATACAGGAAATTCATGACCTTTTTGAACTCAAGCTTCAAGTTCTGATCCCAAGGTGGAAGGTGCAGTTGGTGTGACGGATATATGACTAATTAATTTGGCGAATAGCATTTACAAACTAATTCTAACAGTACTTGCCAATAGATATATAGGGCTATAGGCCAGGTGGTGAGGGAGAGGTAACATGCATTTTGTGAAGGTCGGCAGATCCTGGAGGCAGTTCCAGTCGCTAATGAAAGTTGTCGACTGTGTCTTTAAATCTGGGAATGGGAAGATTTTGTGCAAGCTTGACATTGGAAAAGGAAATAAACCATGTCTCTTGATCAATCTTGCTCTATTTTGTTAGGGTCCCTACTAATGGATATAGTTATGGGACAGTGAATATAACAATTTGCAGACTTTATTGAATGTTTTGGAGTTCTTCAACCTTTATCTATTTTGAATGAAATTTAGGCTCATTAAGAGAGAATCTGATGATCTCTTGAGTAAGAGTCTCTATACATACTCTTCCTTTTACAGCCATGTAAATTTTTACTATAGAGGAAGTAGTTACAGTACTCATTATGGAATTAGTCCTAATTTCAGATTTTAGTAAGTATCTCTTATTATCCTCTTTCTATCTCATACTTCACCTAGACAATACATATATCCTATACATATCGTGCAGATTTATTACACATAATACAATATCTTGATACATTATTAGACACAATAATATCTAAATGCACAATTTAGTTTCTCTTCCTCCTTTGATGTAAAAAAATTGTAATTAAAATTTTTGTTTACCGAATTTTTATTCATAATACTTAATTTGCAACAAGTAGATACATTTATGAGAGAATTAGAGAGATATTTAGTAGAGAATTAAATATAAATCAGTCCCATAACTGCTTTCTACTCATTTCGGGTTGATAACTTTTTGCTAACACTGGACTAACACTGATTAAAGTGGAATTCTGTTATCCCGATGCTAACACTGGGCTAGTTACTATTTATGGGAATTCATTGCAAGAAAAGTAAAAGTGCAGTAATTCATGTTTAGCTGGTCAAAGGCCTTTCCTATCTGCAGAAAACATCATGATTCTGGTTCGGCGGTAATTATTTTGAGAGGATGCCACTTTTTTTCTCTTTTCGCCCTCTTTCTAACTTAATAATGATTTACTCTTTAAACTTGACAGTTAAAAGTGATTGTCTTTTACTGCTTTGAGATGATGCCATAATTTGTTCTTTATGTAGATGCACTTGCCATTTGATTTTAGAAAAGTTGCCTTAGTGCCTTCTAGGTGGGGCAATATAGGAGTAGGAAAGGAACTTGTGCGTACAGATTTTGTATAGTTGTTCTAACAACATTGATGTATTGATGTTGTACTTAACCTATATAGTCTGATTTAGATTTCTAGCTTGGTGTGCATTTTGGCGTCACACCTTAATATTCAAATATTTTGTCAGATTCAGTGCTGCAGAGGATGAAGATGATACTCGTCCAAATTTACTGCGGAGAACAACAATTGGAAATGGTGCTTCTTGATTCCTCTTCTTTCTGATTTGTCTTAATTTTGTGCGATCTCGCTGAAGCTCACCATATTCTAGAAACTAGCAGGTCCACCTGAATCAATACTCGATTGGACTAAGGAGTTCGACTCAGAATTGTCAAACCAGAATGTCAACAATCAAGCATTTTCTGGAAAGCACTGGCGACTTCTTCAATGTCAAAATGGTCAGTATCTTCCCTAGCATTTTATCTTGGTTGGCGATTGACTTCAGGCATGACAATCAAATTCTTCTTATTTCCTAACTAAGCATTCTGGAAAACCTTCATGTATTATAGGAACTGGATAAGTTGGATTTTTATCTATGTTCTTGGGGCTTCATAAATTGCTAACAACTTACTTTTAGTATATAATGTGGCAGGACTCCGCATTTTTGAAGAGCTTCTTGAAGTTGATTACCTTGTATGGATTTGCTTGCTTATTATATTTGTGATCTTGTTTTGTCTAAACTATTCAGATATTTGGGGTCACAATCATCATTACGGTTTTCTTGGTGCAGCCAAGGAGCTGTACTAGAGCCATGAAGGCTGTAGGTGTTGTGGAGGCTTCCTGTGAAGAAATATTTGGTCTGGTAATGAGCATGGATGGAACACGATATGAGTATGTGTTCTCTTCTTTCAACTATACTTTTCATAGTTCGAATATATAATATCATTTAATAGTGCTTATCCTATCCAGAAAATCTCTCTCTCTCTCTCTATGTCCATGTGGGGCGCGTGTCCACTGATCCAGCATGGGGAGATTCTAGTGTTTGTACATGTATAGACATTGTGATTGAAAGACCTTTTGTCCATAAATGCTCTTGCTAAAGCTTTTATTTTTTAGTTTTAGTATAAAGTATGTCCAAATCAGTGTGAAAAGCATAGATTTTAAGCATTCCCTGGTTAATGGCAGAATAATATTACATCTATTACAACTTTTTTTGATAATGTTAGTTGGCATTTGATATTGTAAATTAGGCTTCTTAGCAATCTTGAGGCTCAAGTATATAAATATTAATAGGATTATCAAGAGACTTACCAGGACAAATCAAGGGAATTATCTAATTTTGAGTTTGCATGTTCCGTCACTCTTCTGTGAAATTTTCATCTTAGGAAGGAGCCAATTCCATGATAAAAGATGCAGATATTCTTCTGCGCGCAGAATAGGACCCAACAGATGTTAAATAGGACACGTGAAGCCTGTTGAACTCTCATCTTTTATATTGTCTAATGCAAACCGCTTAAATTTGTATTTAACTACCAAATAAGATCATCTTTTGAATTTTATGGTTCCTTAATCTGATCTCGTAAGAGTGTTTTGAAAGAGATCTCAGAGAGATACACACAAATCCTCTCCACTTCCACCCTTTCCCATCTCTTTTTTCATGTTTTAAGTTTCTTCAATCGTCCATCTCTTTCTTGTCGAATGTTTTGTTATTTTATCATTTTTTACTTGTTCATTCTCTTCTATGACTATAAAATTGGCCTTGTATCTTGGGTAGGTTATTTTTTTTCTTTTTCTTTTTTGTCGTTATGGTTGTATCTGATAGCTGGTTGAGGGTGATACGTATCAGCATCTTGTTTAATAATGCTCCAGTTTGTATTTTGTGACACTGAAGTTAAATTCTGGACATTTGTTGTTGGTTGTCTTACTTGTCACAAATGCTTAGGCCCTGTTTAGTTTAGGAAAATATCTCCATTTTCTTAAGATTTTTCCTTTTTTCTTTTAAAAGAAAGTAGAAGCATGTTTATTTAAGTGAACTAAAATTATTTTCGTCCAAAATAATTTTCTAACAATAGAGAAAATGACCTTCTTGATAAGATTGCTACTCTTGATAGATTGGCCTCAGATGACGTTACTTAATGAACAACAATTTGGTCCCCTTTAAGAATTTATTTGAGGAGATTCTTGTTAGAACATATTATTTTGAGGCAGAAATCTAGGGTGAAATGACTTAAAAGAAGGTGATGCCAATACCGAACTCTTTTTGTGGTGGGGAATGGGAGAGGGAGGAAGAATTATTATGGAGCATGGGCGATTTTTTGGCTGAATGATTACGGATTACTTTATGAAGTTGTATTTAGATGAGAATATCGACTGTCCTTTATTGAGGGCACTGATTGGTGTTTGATTATGGGGAGTGAGCTAAATGGATCAAGAGATCTTTCAAGGAGTGCTAAATTAAGAGGGCTTTCTGGGATCTTGGTGTGGATAAGGCTCCGGTTCCCAATGGTTTTACTTTACCCTTTCTTTAGAGATGTTGGGATTTCATTAATGAAAACATAAAGTGTTTTGAGGAATTCCACCTCATTGGTAAAATTAATACTTGCATGAATTCTTTCTTTATTAATTAGTCCCTTAGAAAGATCATGCCCGTAAGGCTTCAGATTATCAACCTATAAGGCTAGTCACTGGTGTATAATCAGAAGAGCTCTTTCCTATGTTGACTTGGGTGCTAGATGGGACCATTTATGACCAGTAGAGTGCTTTGGATTACAAGTAGATGTTATTTGAGATGTCTCTCTTATTGGAAATTAGCTAGTGAAGAAAAATAGAATATTTAGAAAACGAGGTCTGGTCCCCAAGCACTAACCACATGCTTATTGCTAAGGTATTTGGAAAATGCCAATTCCTTCAAAAGTAAAGGTGTTTACATGGACTGCCATGCAGCGGAAGTTCTACATGAGTAAGATGTTAGAAATCCGTTGACCTCACCAAGCTCTTCCTCTGGACATCTGTTTCATGTGTTTCACATGGGACTCTGGACTAAGTTGATTCACATGTTTGGGCTTAGCCAGGTCACGCCCCCAACGATGGAAAGATTTTTTTTTTTTTTCATTCATTCATGAGGAACAGAGGGTGCAGAAGTATTCCCAACACTAGTATAAAAATATTCTGAACATTAATGTGGAAATATTCTCAACACTGATGTGGAAATATTCTCAGCATTAACATTGAAATATTCTCAGCATTTAATTCATTATTTTCAGCCTTTAATTTTTGATTTAGTAAAAAACCAACTATTATTAGCTGTATCTTTTGGTATTAATTGCTAGATTTTTTAACGTTATTAGATTTTATTTTTGATTCCTTATATACTGTAAACTAATTGTCAAATCTTCCTATAAAAGGAAAGTAATTAATTATAAAGTATGTATATATTGGTTGTTTTCAGCCATTCGAAGTGCAGAAAGAAATTACTCCATTTCTACATGGTATCTGATCAACTCAGACTTTGACAGCCTGCATTCTTGAAAGAAAAAAGTCCGTGGCTGCTAAGAAAGGAGCCTCCTCGATAGATGTCATCCCAAGTCATATAAGCCAACTAGGAGCCTTCAACGGCTAGCTCCTCACTATCACCGGCCACAAATTAAATGGCCAGAATTACTTGCGATGGTCATAATCAATCCTCACCTTCAGATCCGGAAAAGGAAACGGTGAATACCTTACTAGTGAAGCTGTACAACTGAAGAAGGAAGACACAACATATCAAGCATAAAAAACAGAAAATAACCAATTAACGTTGTGGCAACTAAATTTAATGATGAGTAAAATAGGAGAAAATTTTATCACTACGAAATTGTAGCAGAAATATGGGAAGCAATAACGGAGGCACACCCACACATAAAAAGGACGTCTGAACTTTTTGAAATCAGATGCCTTCTTCATGATCAATCATAAGGAAAATTTATTGTCACTGAATATTTCAACATACTCAACCATCATTGGCAGCAACATGATGTGTTTGAAAAACATGTGGAAATGGGAGATGGTGATTGTATCACAAGAAACTTTTGGAACAAAAGAGATTATACAACTTCTTAATAGGTAAATAAAAACTTAGATGATGTGCATAGGAAGATCCTTCCCAAACGACCAATTCCCAGCATTCGTGAAGCATTTACTGAAGTTAGGCGTGAAGAAAGCTGCAGGAAAGTCATGATGGAAACTCATAATTCATTCAATAATATCGAAGCAACTGCTTTTATAATTATAGGAGGACAACGACCACTCAACTCTTGGAAACAAAGGAAGGAAAGACCAAAATGTGATCATTGTTACAAGTTTGGTCACACTAAGGGTAAATGTTGGGATTTTCATGGGAGATCAGAAGATGCAAAACTTAGGCAGAGCAGAAGTAATTCAGCCACCTCAAGAGAAAAGCTCAAAAGTACTGGGACATCTGTCTTCAACAAAAAACAACCAAAATTACTCCAACAATTGTTTGTACAGCAAAACAATTCACCTGTTCCCTCCATAGCCTCGAGATCTATGGCTCACAAAGGTAACATCCTATATGCCCTTAATGTTGGAAAGGAACAATTTATTGTCTGAATTCTTGACTCGGGTGTCTTTGACTTTATGACTGGAGATTCCTAATTATTTACTAACCTTATTCCATGTAACACAATCACAAGTCATTGACTTAATACTTCACTCTATGTGATTTGTTCCAAAACTAGATTGTTACTAGTTATCTATAAGCAAATTGGCTTGAAGTGATAATTGTGTCGCTAAATTTTTTAAAAATTTGTGTGAATTTCAAGGTACGGACACAGGGAGGACGATTGGAAATGGCAAGGAGTGTTTCGGATTGTGCCTCCTCACCTGTAACGACTTTGAAAGTGGACAAGCTCTACATATTAGTGGTCTAGTTTCACATAACGCTTTAATTAATGCTTCCAATAATGACATTATTTTATAGCATTTTCAGTTAGCTCATCCCAATTTTGTGTACTTTGAAAAGTTATTGTCGTTGATATTCAAAAACATAATCCAAAATTATTTCAATATGAAGTCATCAGTTATTAAAACACACACGAAATCCATTTCCAAACCATTCATATAAACTCTCTCATATGTTCATAATATTTCATAGAGATCTATGGGGACTAGCTCGCGTTAAGCATGTAGTTAGGTTTCGTTGGTTTGTGTCCTTTACTAATAATCGCACTCATTTGACATGGGTTTTTCTTCTTAAAAAAAAGTCAGAAGTTGAGTAACTCTTTCGAAATTTTCACAAAATGATCCAAAATTAGTTCTAAACAAAAATGAAAGCCTTAGAATAGATAATGCCAAAGATAATGTTCTGGGAGGTTATTTGTTGGATTAAGGAATCATCCATCAAAGTTTTTGTCTAAATATCCCACAATGACATAAGATTGCAGAAAGAAAAAGCATACACCTCCTTGAAATCGCGTGTTCTTTGAGAATTGTAACTATTGTTCCAAAACATTTTTGGGGGGATGCCATCCTTACTGTAGCTTACCTCATAAACTGAATGCCATTTTGTGTTTTCAACTTCCAAATCTCATTCAAAATTCGTCCTAAACATTATCTTTCTTGCCTTGTGTCAATAATTCCACTAAAAGTATTTCGAGTTCTGACTTTGTCCATATTTATCTCACAACCGTGAAAAACTCGACCCTCATACTATAAAATGTATATTTTTGGGATACTCACCAAATAAGAAAGGTACAAGTGTTATTCCATAACCACTCGGAGATATTACCATTTTGTGGATGTCTTTTTTCTTTGAGAATGAAGCATTTTATCGCGATATTGCCATTTAGGTGGAGAGAGAAAACAATGAGGAATGTTAGTATCGGGATTTTGAG